TCCCCACTTAGTTTTCACTGATACTATTTATTTCATTTTGATGTGGTATTTCACAACCTGCATCAATATTTGAAATAAATGTCGAAGAATTTTTTATAATACCATATTGTAGGTAGGTATGGAAACTTTTTATGGAAAATTACTTCACTATGCTTGATTTATTCTTAAATTTGCTAAGTTGGTAAGAAATGATGTTATGATTAGTACTCTCAATTTTTGTTATTGTTTGGTTATTTTAGCAATATTGCCATTTAGTGCAAGTTATTGTCCTTTATAAATACATCGAAGAAAAGTAGTCTTTCAATTTTTCAATAATAATAATAAAGGATTTTATAACTTGACTCACATATTTCCGTCCTGTGGTGGCCTGGTGTGGAAGGAATCGAAGGGAGCACATATTGTTTTCCTCAAAGGACAATTTGCCGTTAAAACTCCCCTGCATTTATTTTCCCTCGAACAATATTATTTTCTCAGCTTGCAGTTGCTTCCCCAATATCACATTAACTGGATCTCATATATCTTCGAAAGTGTGGGGATTCCCGCTGAAATGGTCGATCAATACCCGATGACACATATTCGATGGATGGAGTTTTAGGTATTCAAGCCAACAGATCCAATTCAGTTTAATAATATCGTAAATATATCTGCAATAAGATACCTATATCCTATTAATAATTACTGAAACGTGGAAATTATTATCAGTACTTGTCTTTACTGAAGAAAATCCTATTCTTCTATTCATATACTAACAAATATACATCTTTTATGTGCAAGTAAGTAAATAAAACAAATAACCAAATTAAGAATAAAATTGAATTAAATTGTAGTGATAGAGTATCGTTTACGTTTCTATTATGGAAGATATTTTTAATTCGCAATACCGCCCTAATACTATTATTTAGCAGTGAATATCTATATTATTTTTAAACTTTGGGAACCATTGTTGATAAGGAAAAAGAATTGTAATTACAGTTTGTATTATTTCTTATCTGGTTATTCATATAGAAAATAAATTAAAAAATCAAGTCAATTTTTAAAATTTTTAGAGCACTTTAGTAATTCCCTTAGAAAGAAATAGGTAAACTGCTATTCTGAATTGTCAGCCAGATCGAAGCCAGAATTATGTGCGCCATGCCAGAGAAAAAAGTGCAGTTGTAGACTGCATCTCATTTTAATATAGATGTTTCATGTTGCTATGATTTCGTATTTACTTTGCAAATATTCCTGTCTCTATTTACTTGCCGTCGACGTCGCTTCAAACATTTGCAAAATTCCTCTTCATTTGATCTGAGCTTGAGTGGGTATCCACATTGATCCAATGTTGCTTATACATACTTCATCTTGAGCGAAAAAGTAAACTTAAAAAAATCTTCTATTTGGATGATATGGATTCAGACGTTTTTGGATAACACAGCTGCTAAATTATATTTTAATATTTTTCTATAATTAATAAAAGCAAGATGAATTTGCTTCGATTGACTTATTAACCTTCACGTACAAAACCTGAAAATAGAAAAAATGCGATAACATATTTAAACCGAAGCAAAAAAACTAAACGCAACAAAGTATGTTGCATATCAGTAGAAACTGAAACTTTGGAAAATCTTTAATAAGAAGCTACTTTTACATTTAAACACATTGCAATTTGTGATAAAAAGTTTTCATATAATAGAACATTTCCAGAAAAGTTCTTGATGGTCATTTGTCTGTCACAAATCTGTTCAAGAACTGACAGAAATGACCATCAGTCGAGTATAAGCCATGCAATGGCAATTATTGCTCTAAAACAATAACAAAGCAGTTAAATTGAAACAATTGTAAAAAGTATTTAAGACAAGCTGAACATCAAAGTAGTAACGTTATAACCAAAAATAACTACTGAATTTATGTACCTACTGATATGATGAAATTATGGTCATCACGTGCTGAAAATTTGAAAAGAAATTTGAGAAATTTAAAAAATTCTGATAAGTAAAAATGCAATGATGTGTTTTGTGTTTAAATTAAAAAAAATTAAATTCAACGTTATTCTCTGCGTTGTGAAATGGAGCTTGTATGCTGTTCTTCGCTACTAAATCCAACTAATATCCTTTTTTAATACAAAATCCTTTTAATGCAAAAATCCCTTTTTAATACAAAAAAACCCTTTTTTAATACAAAATATGTTGTCATTTTGGTTTTAAATTTGACCTTTCTGGCACTATAAAATTTCCTATTCATTTTCTGGTCCTGTATGTTTCACTACAATATACTACTAATTACTAATTTAATTTGTTGTCGTTATACAAGAAAATAACTTATTTATTGTAAAGTAAACCTTGAACCGACACATAAATTTCTAAAAAGTCGATTCAGAAACTTCCTACATAATTGGTGGGATTGTGCAAAGTACGTAAAAATGTAAAATTTGAATTAACTTTTTTCCTTTTGGGGAAAGTAACGCTAACGAGGAAAATGTAAAGCTTTCTCATAAAAAAATTATTTAGATGCCTAAAAAATCTACTCTCCCGAGTTATACAGCATTTTACATAATTTTTAGCAGGTATTGTATGTATATACCTACTTTATTATGATGTATGATATACAGGGTGTTTAAAATTGGTGAAAAAATTCTATCGTATCCTCTATTACACAAAAATTGCCTCTTGTCAATTTATCATAGATTTAGAGTAAAAAGAGAAAAATCAGTTTATTGTTCATCGATGTGTATATTATTAACTTTCGGTAAAAATTTTTTTTGTATAAAATTGTGATCGTTTCTATAGTAATTTCCAATGGTATCAGCCAAAATGAACCGAACTATCAAATTAATAAATAAATCGAGGACGATGAAGCTTAAGTTGTTCTTTTATCATGGTGCTTTTCGAAACTCTCGTTACTTGTTCCACCTTTCATGTGCCTTTTGTCGGTTCTCGTCAACTCTTTGCAGGATAAGTTCCTAGGAATTTGGAAGTCTCACTACAAGTCGTCGTCCTGATCTTTTTTTTTTCAGTTTAGTTGCCTCAAAGTCTCCTTTCGAACTTAGCAAAACTTTTCCAGTTTGGTATTCGTCTGTTAGGACAGCTTTCTCTGGAAACACATTCACTTTCATAGTAACTGTTCTCACGTAATCCTCAGTAACAGTATATAGGATGTTCCGAAAGTAATGGGATGCAGAACAGGAATGAATTTCCCATGACAAAATATTTCGATGGACGCCAAACTTACCTCAATCCAAAAGAAGAATGTCAAAGCTACAGTTTTGAATTCAAAATTTTTAAATTTTATTGTAAGTTATCAATGAATTGCTTTGAATGTTTGGATTCAGGGGCTTTCTGAGACGAGAAAAACGAATCCGTTGTTAACTTTTCATTATGAAATAATAGATTATTTAAGTAAATCTACAGCGGCTGACGTTCAACTAAAATTTACTTCTGGATTTTATGTTACACGAAACAAAATATCTGCTTGTTGTTCTGGAATAATACATTTATTTTTGGATGGTCAGCATCTCAGTTTTAGGATGAAATGACCGGTCATAAAGGTTTTTAAATAATTTATTATCTGGTTGTAATCTGTTTGGATATGTTTCTAAAAGTCTGCGACACGCATAATGACCATTAAGATTTTCTGCATAAATACCATATCTTGCATTTCTTTATTACAAAATATTATAAAATAATTATATTATAAAATAATATTAAAAAATTATTGCGGAGCATATTTCAGATGATATTAATAAAAATTTTATACATAAGTGTACTAGAATACACTTTAAAATAATAACTTTGACATATAATTGTCAATAAAAACCGCAAATAACTCGAAAATGTGCATCAAAAGCCTTATTTGTACAAAAAAAGTTAAGAGAATAATATTTTCCTATTAAAGCTCTAGAGTTCTGATCAATTTTTCTTCACCCAGAGTACATTTTGTAGAGCTATCTGTTGTTTAGAGCAAACTTTAAAACAAATTTGTTTTTCTCGTCCCAAAACAGCCCAAAATCCAAATTTTTAGAGAACTTTCAAAAATTTTAAGAATTGAATGACTCACTTTTTTACCAAAGATAAAACATTATAATAATTTGTATAAAATGTGTACAAAATCTATTATATCATTTATTCATTTGACCAACAAAATATATGAATTATTTATGTCCTCAAACAATTTTATTATATTGTAAATTTCATTTTGTTCCGTTCCAAAAGATCTCTAAAATGTCATGTTGTAAACAAAATATCCCTCTTATTTCTCCCTTTCGCAATTGTAATATGAATGATTAATAGAAGTTGCCTATAATAAATTAAAATTACCTGAATCACACAAAATTCCGCATTGCTGCACTGCACTGCTGGGCAATTTATCAACCACTTGTCAACTGCTGTGATTTATTGCCCAGTAGCCCAATGCAACTGTCTTTATTTTTCTTTGCCCGCGCTCGCATTCTTCTACTGGGCGCATAGATTTCTACCACCTGCACGTTTAGTTCGACCAGACGCCTATATGGGTATGGCTAAATAAATATGGGAACAAATTTTTCAAATATTTCAGTGTCGAGTTGCTGCATCAACGACCGAACCTCTTGGATCTTCAACTGAAATCGGAAAGACGTTTTTGTCTTAGCAATCTACTCTTGCTCTGTTTTCCATTTCGAGGCATTGTATGTATTATTTTAATAGAATGTAAAATTAAAAATAAACCGACATTTCGTCCGTTTATAGTGCAGTCTGGAAATCTGACATTGTTCAATAATTCATCAACCAACGTGAAACAACCTATCCAGAAATATATTGAAAAATGATTTCCATCACGGGAATAATTGTTACAGCACGAGGCCGTTTTATGGGCGACGAACAAAAAACTAGCAAATTAATCTTTTCCATTTGGGAGCCGTGACAGCGTAGTTAAAGTTGAAAAAGAATATTTAAATTCCGCTATACGTTGTGCTTTATTGTATTCTTTGAAGTGCGCTCTGTATTATTTTTCCTCGGCCGGTTTTATATAATATATTGTGTTTTCAGGTTGGAAGTATCTCCTATTTTCCATGGTCTCCATGGCGACGGCAATGCTGTGCAAAGAACAAGGGATTACTGTGGCCGGAGTTTGTGCAGCATATGAAATATTTGTCGCCCAAAAGGTATGTGCATAATTTGCTTTGCTAGTCATTGTATGTTATAAAGATTTTCCCGACCGAGTTTCCTTAATTAAAACCGATAAATAATCACACTCTCCGGGATCGTGGAAGAATGTCCTTATTCGGCCAGGCTATATAAATTTACCACGAATTAATTTCAGTAGTGTACCAGTACTTCTGTTGTTAGTTAATTTATTGATAAAATCCAGTTCTGATTTGCAAGCTTCCGTCCAATTTTTCGGTAGTTAAACAATTTCTAAACAGATTGTGACATCACTAGTTTAAACTTCTCGATGATGCGAGAGAAATATCGCACTTTTCTTCAGAAGGAAATCTGGAATTGAATATTAAGTCCTGTCGTCGATATCTAATTCGTTGTATATTAGTCCAGTTGGTAGAGGTTCGGCGTGTGTTAAACCTTGATAACCCGGAAATAATTACACAGGTCTACTTTAAATGATGAGTACAATAACTGACTAATTTGCTGACAAAGTATTTTATCAGGAAAAAAAGTTATTACAATTTAATCGTGAAAAAAATTTTTTTTAGTAGTTTTCTTTAAATAACTCAGCGGGATGATTTTGTACGAAAAAATGCTTGGGACATGATTTTGTTCGTAATAAAAATAGCTACAAAATGGCGGTGGTCCGATTACGAAATTTGCAATAACAAAGCCGTGAGATTGAAAAAACGGTATAAAACGCCAATTTTTTTAAGTTGCTGTAAAAATGTCAATTATAAACAAAAAGTGATAAAACTTTCGAAAACTATAGTTCAATATATATACAATAATGACGCTAAAGCCGAAAATCAGGAGAGCAAAACTTTTTGTTCTATAAGGTGTTATACATTCATCGGCATCTGAAACTCGAAACTTTGCCAAATTTGTTCGAAGCTTTGCTGACACTTGAAATTTGGTACACACATAGTGTAAATATGCAGAAACCAAAAGCAATTTGCAAAATTCAAGTATCTTCATTTTTGCAGTTTTGGTAAGGTTTTATACGTCACCCTAGTTTTATACGTCACCGTTTTTTTAATTTTTGGACGTATATTTATGTATATTTATAAAATATTCCATTACGGTAGATTAGCCAGCATAATTACCTACAATTTAAAAAAATATATATTTTCATCGTTTAGATCCTAAGCTACTTAACATTTTGCGCCTGTTAGCCGTAGTCGTACATTATTCAACATATCAACATAAAACAAAATCGTACGTGTGGGGTAAACCTTTAACTTTTCATTTTCGAGCGCGAGCTCCGCTCTTCGGCGCTTGTATACTATTAGAAATATGCAACAGTAAATTTAAACAATTGTTTACTTAAAGTTAAAGGTTTACCCCACACGTACGTTTTTGTTTTATGTTGATATGTTGAATAATGTACGAGTATGGCTAACAGGCGCAAAATGTTAAGTAGCTTAGGATCTAAACGATGAAAATATTTTTTTTTTTAAATTGTAGGTAATTGTGCTGGCTAATCTACCGTAATGGAATATTTTATAAATATACATAAATATACGTCCAAAAATTAAAAAAACGGTGACGTATAAAACTAGGGTGACGTATAAAACCTTACCAAAACTGCAAAAATGAAGATACTTGAATTTTGCAAATTGCTTTTGGTTTCTGCATATTTACACTATGTGTGTACCAAATTTCAAGTGTCAGCAAAGCTTCGAACAAATTTGGCAAAGTTTCGAGTTTCAGATGCCGATGAATGTATAACACCTTATAGAACAAAAAGTTTTGCTCTCCTGATTTTCGGCTTTAGCGTCATTATTGCATATATATTGAACTATAGTTTTCGAAAGTTTTATCACTTTTTGTTTATAATTGACATTTTTACAGCAACTTAAAAAAATTGGCGTTTTAAACCGTTTTTTCAATCTCACGCCTTTGTTATTGCAAATTTCGTAATCGGACCACCGCTATTTTGTAGCTATTTTTATTACGAACAAAATCGTGTCCTAAGCATTTTTTCGTACAAAGTCATCCCGCTGAGTTATTTAAAGAAAACTACTAAAAAAATTTTTTTCACGATTAAATTGTTAATAACTTTTTTTCCTGATAAAATACTTTGTCAGCAAATTAGACTGTTATTATACTCATCATTTAAAGTAGACCTGTGTAGTTATTTCCGAGTTATCAAGAAAATGTCACCAACGGTAACTTTTCGGCCTCTGCCGACTGGAGTATATGGTCTATGGTGATCCATGGCTTGAAAAAAGCCGCGGTGCAAGATTTGAGCCTTGAGGCACATCTAATGAGGTGATACAGAGTAGTCCTCGATTTCAACAAACTGCCGACAAATTTGAGTGGAACGTAGAAAGTAATCGAGTTTTACACCAAATTGTGCCAGTTTGTGCAACTACATAAATTGGTTAATTCGACAAAAAATGGAAGAGGAAAATAATGATTCTTTTTTCAAGAAGAATTTACAGTTTTCCGTTGCGACACTTATTTAGGAACACTCTGTATATTCAGTTTTTGTTGTAAATCGTTGAAGGTCAAGGTCTTATATTATTGTCACCAATTTACCCAGACTGTCGTTGATCTTTCATCAAGAATGCATAAAGAGCTATCGATGCAAAATGCATTATATACAGGGTGAGTTATTAATAATGGTACACAGCTTAATGGCAGATTGTTAACGTCAAAATATAGTGATTGAGTCAAACATGCCTTAATCAATCCCCTTTTCGTTCAAAAAATATTTTCGATTTTTTACTATACAGGGTGTTTCAGTTTGAGTGAATCAAACTTTAACCACAAACAGAACACAATAAATAATTCAGAATTGCCTTATAAAGCAAGAGTCTAAGTCTCATCGTTTTCACTGTACAGGGCCGTATTGGATGGTTTTTAAAATCATAGTGAGCGGTTTAAATCATACTGAAAAATATTCCAGTGACTGAACATTCTAAAGCGCAGTTGCGAAGAAAAATGGAGGGAAATACAAATTTCAGCAATCCTAAAGTAATCTTACTATTTAAATAAAATGCCGGTTCTGTTCAGTTACTGGTTACTGTTCATTCTCTGGTCGAGTCACCCTATATGGTTCTTTTGTAGAATTTTTTATTTATTTATTAAACAATATTGTATCTACTGGTGAACCCAATTGATACAAGATATTTATTTATTCTTTGGGACATAAAATGTATAAGAAACGTCATAACTGTTACAAACAAGTTGTTAAAAACGAAATTACATTTTAAAAAATATTTAAACACACGTAATAACAATCAAAGTGATTTACATACAATTACTAGTGGTGACATACTTACAAAATACAACAAAAAAAAAAAAGAAAAGAAAAAGAAAAAACTGGCAAAGAGCAAAGATACAAAACAAACTAAGCATATATAAGTAACATTATAAATACACATTCATAACAACAATAAAATTAGCTGAGTGTATTACAAATTAAGTTAACACAGTTAACAATGTTATTTATGGAATTATAAAAACCATAATTAGTTCGATGGTAATTGACATGTAAAGCAGTAGTTAGTCTGCATAATTTGGGACGCGTACAGAAAATAAAGATAATAGTTCATTACAATCTATTTTTTCATTAAACAATTTGTGAATTAATTTAATATAATTGCAAGATCTTCTACGTTCTAAAGATTTAAATCCGAGTAGGTGAAGCCTTTCCATATAGATATAGTCGTTTTTATTTATATTAAGTTTAATATAATTGCAAATTTTTCGCTGTATTTTCTCTAGATGATTGATATGTACTTCATAGTCGGGATTCCAAGTAGTACAGCAATATTCCAATGATGATATAACTAAGGAATTATACAATAAAACAATAGTTTTTATGTTGGTAAAGTCATTGACTTGCCTTCTGATAAAACTACTCATATAAAAACATTTCCTTATTAACTCATCGATGTGAAGATCAAATCGCAAAATGGAATCAAACTTAATACCCATATCAGTAATGCAATCAACTCTCTCAAATATTGTGTTATTTATGGAATAATCATACATAAATTTGTTTTTCTTACGTGAAAATGTAATAACTTTCCATTCATAATAATTAAACTCCATGTTATTCAATGAGCAGGAATTTAAATCGGTCTGTATTTTACAACATTCGCCACTATCATTTCACTCAAAAAAATTTTTAAATCGTGAGCAAATAGAATTCTGCAGCTGTTGATAATGATCGAATTATTCGAATTATCATTTACAAACAGTGAAAATAAAATTGGTCCCAAGTGACTACCTTGAGGCACCCCTGATGCTACATTAATTTCCATTGATACAAAATAATTTATTTTAATAATTTGGGTCTGATCGCATAAATATGATTTGAGCCACAGCAATAAATGGCCTGTATAGAGGGCTAATTTGGTTAAGAGGAGGCCATGGTCAACCCGATCGAAAGCCTTCCGGAAATCGATATATATTGCATCCAATTGGCCGCCAAGTTCAATATGATTCATCAAATAATTTGTGTACAATAATAAATTAGTTTCTGTACTACGACGAAAATAGAAACCATGCCACGATAGACTCAAAAACTTTTCCAATAGAACAAAAACAACAAATTGGTCTATAATTACTAATATTGGTCTTGGTAACACATACTATTTAGAGACATGTGAAAAATAATAAATATGGGAGAAACTAAGGAGGGACTACATCATTTTGAAAAGAAAGGAGGGATATTATCAGGACCAGCATTAAACATCTCTTTTAAATTCAAAAGCTTCTGAAAAACGTCCTGACTTACAGGCAGTTCAATAGAGAATAACGTATTACAATTATTATAAAACAGCTATTATGATGTATGTAATTATTATTTTTGGACTTAGTACTGAATAAAATTCTTGTGAATGTCTGTAAAATAGACGATATTTTGTACACGGTATACCCATGTTTCTATTGCTAGACTAATTTTTTTTTATAGAAATCAGCGCTAATATAACTTTTATTTCAAATTAATAAAAATGCATTATAACATGGAAACGTATATACTTTT